GAGGGTTACAATTCCCAGACTAAAGAAGCCGTGCATAAGCAGCAGTTCCAAGGATGCAGAGCACACAACCTTTCCTCCGAACGTCAGGGCAAAGGTACCTCTGCTGTGGGGTCTGGACTGATTAATTTTTCAGAAACAGGTAATAAGATACCCAAGAAGATATAAAAAATATAGCAGAATACTTTAGGAAAAAATAATAAACAAAAGTTTAAATGGTGAACCTGGATAAGTACCAGGGCCTCTCAAACACAAGGACTGCAAAAAATAGAAAAAGATGCCTTGAAAACCTCGGCACAATAGAGCAAGTTTTACCTGAGGTGAAGACTTTCCGAGTCCTGCTTTACAGGATAAAATTGTCTACAGTTTTTCATTTTGCTGACATTTTATTCCTTTCAAACCAGAGGGAAATCATTAGATTCTGTGTCTGATATGTAATCACCATATTTGTTACAGGGAAATGAAGTCACATACAGAGGAAAACTGAAGAAGCCACCTCAGTTGGTGTGCAACAAGGGAAGCCACCACTACAATTTTATCAGTGGTTTATACACAAATCCTACTTCACCTGCTAACATCTAAGTTAGTTGTTCGATTTTGGGTATAAGTGATACTTTCGATTCTACATCCCTGAGAACACCCAAGCTCTCTGCAAGTTTCTAAAGCTGCTCTCACAGCTTACTGCACCTATAACCACCACATATCAGCAAACCCCTAAACTTGCTGGCTTAAACTCAGGGGATCATAAGCTTCAAAGCACTTCAGGGGCTTTGATAAACGAGATTATCATTTCTAAATGCTATAATCACAAAAAGGTAGATTGCATTTTCAGGGTCAAACAGCTTCCAGTGCCAAGACTTACACACCCCATTGCCAACCAGATGGGCAGATGCAAACTGCATCCTCATGATCCATCACATAACCGCCGCTACATCATCGCTGCAATATTTACAAAGTTCATGAGCATTATGTTAGTCAATTATGGCTTCATGCCACTTTCTCTTAGATTGCATGTCTGTTGGAGGAACGGGTCTTTGATTTTCAAGCTCCCTTACATTCCAGCACAGCAACCTGCTGGGGATTTATGGGCATTTCATGGGTGTTTAATGAGGCTTACACTGTAGCCAATCTAAACAACTCTTGATCATGGAATTCTGAAGTACATTCAGTAAATGAGCCTGAGACACCTTGAGAGAAATACTGAATAAATCAGAACCGTCAATTTGCCCTGTCCCTCTGCTCCAGTTTTGCTGGTGAATACCAGACACACATATACACAGAATAAGCACTCCCTGGTTTATTATTTCTGGTTCCCCCAGATTTACAATGTATTCAGGATGGGCAGTAGAGACTCACTGATACATCTCTGTAAGTGTTTAAACATACAGATCAACTTTATTACCTGTCAACCTTTTAACTAAAACTGATTTTAAAGAAAAAGTAGAGTATAACAAACACTTGAAAGCAACATTTTAATACGTTTATTTCAAGAGTACTATTTAATGACATTCTGAAGGGCAAAAGTCTCACTCCTGGAAGGTATTTAAAGGCCTAAATACTTTTGTGCTCCTAGATGCCCCCAAAAGGGTTTATATTTGCAAAGGAAGCTATTAAGGTAATGTAATGTAATACATAGTATTTGACAGAGAAACAAGTTAGAGTTACACATACCTGCAGCCCTAAATCTGTTCCTAAATGTATTCTCTATCTGGCGCCTAACACACACAACATCCTTAAGCATTTTGAACAAGGTTTTCCTTAAGATAATAATTAGAATTAAATGCTCATCTAGTTTCATCAGAAAGCTTTCTGCTTTAAAATCAGATACCCACAAGCTCCTGAAAAAGGAAATGAGGCAGAAAGGAAAGAAACTTATCTTTGATGCTCTCATTTACGACAAAAAGTAACAGTGGTTTTTTCTCTTTCAAGGATTCATGCTGTTACAGGTGCTTATTCAGATATACCATCTGTTTAAAATAATCCTTCATGAGTTCAAGGTTAATTTAATTTTCACAAATATTCACATGTACAGCATGTGCCTCTGCAAACTTTTACAATCTAAACTGTAATATTCTGGAGCCTAATTTTCCTTTCACAGCAGGAGTGATCCTGCTGATTAGCAGATCTTTTTCAAGCTCAAATCTACATATGTGATAGATCTACAAAGTCTCTTTTGTATAAAAAAAAACATTTTTGAACTGTAAACGCTTGAAAATTTCTGTGGTCTTGCTGTGCCATTCTTATTCTAACCTTTGCTGTTGGTGAAGTTGGGATCATGCTAACAAGGGGCAAGTACCCTGGAAAGGGGCAGGAGGAAACAGGCTCACTGGAGAAAGCACCATTTTGTACTTCTGCTTCTTCCTAAACATTACCAGCCAGCCATGGCCACAGTCAGGCTCCCAGGGTAGGAAATCCCTCAACGACACCTACTATGGTTGTTCTTCAGAGCAAGTACCATCACTCCTGAAGGTCTTTTACTTATCCAGGTTTTATTTCTTCAGACTAATCCAGGAAAGAAATCAGCTTTGCTATCCCATCCTCCTTATTTTCTTCCTGATTTCTCTGTTTACATGCTTTGGAAATTTGTTTCACTATAGAAAATAATGGCTGTAACATTTATGGCTGTCTGACTATTGTCAATGGAATTGGCGTGGGCAGTTCTGGATTTCTTGCTCCATGTGGTAGTTGTGCAGACTGCAGGTCAGAAAGCAAAATCATTCAGACATTTGTCTGGTACTGTGCCTTTTGTTAGCAAATGCTGAACGCAGTGCCAAAGTACCTGTAGTTTTGGTCCCACTGCTAGACAGGGTAATCAATACTTAAAATTGGAGTGACTTCCAGTCTTTTTGACTGTAGGTAGTCAGCAATAATACAGCACACTCACCTAAAAGATGAAATTAAACTGTCAGAAATATTATGTTTGTGGCAAAAGTTATGTGGAAGCTTACTGACAGCAATCCTCACTGTTGCTTGTCTCACTCACCCTGTCGCCAGTGGGGTTCTGTCTTTATTTTTGCACTTTGAGTTAAACAGCTGTCAATTTTAACTTATTTGTAGAAACTGGTGTGGACAAATCAGTTCCTAGCCCTGTGCTGGTTATCTTGAGATTAATAGGAAATCCAGAGCTAGCAGTCAGAGGGGTAAATAGTCTGAATGGGAGAGAAATGCAATCCACCAAAATCTCAAAGTAGCCTCAATTTTTGGATCTTGTGACCCATTCTTGAGAAGACAATAAATAGCCTTTCTGTGCTATAAGGCGCCACAGAACTGCAAAGAGGTTCTTGCTCTTGACAGAAAAGAAACTTGATGGAACACATTGGGTACTTTAAAACCTAGATTTTGACATTTCCTGAAATATTGCCACAATAAAGGTCTTTTCTTTTACAGTGGAATCTAATGTTACATATTTCACCATCAAATATTAAGTAACAAGAAAGTGTTTAGGTTAAGCAACAATAAAGTGTTTAGGTTAAGTAACAATAAAGTGTTTGTGCAAAAAAACCCGTTCCCTGTGCCAAAGCTCTTCCTGCTAAATGCTCCTTAGAGTTATACAGAAAAAAAAGGAATACACAGTTTTCCCCTTTGGTAAAAAACCTCTGTATTGTCAAAAGAAACAAGAATAAGTCTCTGGTTCATCCTGATGTCTGAGGGGTTACTGAGACCTTGCTCAGACAGCATCAGAAGATGACATTCCCCAGGGGGAAGACTCTGACAGCTGAGTTCAGCCGAGTTTGGGCACTTCACGGTCCTGTTCTTGGTTGAGAAGGCAGAGAACCATTCTGTGATGTACACAGGACTGACCTATTCCTTTGCATGTCTTATGTCCAGTACTGTTTTGTTTATTTACCCTGGGCTGTTCTGCTAGAACAAACATTCTCATCTAGATCCCAAACAAAAAGATAAGCACGCCAGCATTGCCTCAAACTCCCATTTCCTTGAAAAGGCTTTCTGAGGGGAAAGGACTGTCTAAATGGCTGGTTTGTCCATTCCTATTTTAACCCATTTTAACACTCTTCTGAGTAGAAGAGGTGCTGGCTCTGCCTAACACCACCTGCAGTAGCTCTAGTTTGTGATTACTGGTAGCTTTATTCATATTTTGGTTCCCCAAAACAAGGCATGCTAAAAAAAATCTGGATTTTTAAGTGATCAGAACTACCTGGTCACTTAATGATTATTCTTTGCATTAGGACAGAAATTTAGATAATACAGTGCATTGCACAAACCCACACTGTCCAAGACAAAGCAAAATATTTGCTCCAGACAAAAGGAATGCTCTCATCTTTACTTGCAACAAGTGTCAGGTTTTTGAGGGAAAGATCAGAACAGTGCTAAGCCAGGGAAACAAAAAGATGACTGCATCCTCCTTACTCTGTGCAGGAACAACCAGCAAGGACTTCACCTGAGACTGAACTTGCTCTCTTTGATTTTCACGCCTGGGCTTGACAACCAATTTCTTTTTTGTCTGTGGCAGGCAGCGACCCCAGAAGAGAATGATAAACTTTAAACATCAGTCCTTTGGCCCTAGCCTCCTACAGCCCATGAGCTGGGAAACAGCATGATCTAAACAGTCTCAGAAGGACTCCTCACACTTGGAAATACATTCCTATGGTTTTTCAGGCACGCAGAGAAGCACCAGCTGGGAAGGCCATTCTGCCCAGTAGGAGCTAGGTTTTACTTCAGCAATGTCCTTATTTACTTCAGCAACAGAAAGATAGTGACACTTCAAACTAATATACACCAAACAGAAGTCCTAAAAATAACACCAAGAAAATAAAGAAAGTATGCAGCTGGGAAGCTGCAAACCTCCCACACCGTATAGGTAACTATTTTTTGTTTAAGTTATTTTTAGAATATTCACCTACAGTGAGGCAGAATTTTGGAGGATGGCAGACATATTTATGCATTCATATACTGCAAGGCAGCAACAATGTGAAAAATAGCAAGAAAAATAAATTACTACATAGCACAGAAATGGAGACTGTGGCCACTATCCCAATCCTTACCTTTTAGAGTTGCCTTCTTAAGTACCTTCATGGCATAAAGCTGCCCTGCATCAGATCCTTTTACCTTCCTGACTAGAAATACCTGTAAAAAGAAAATGTTTTGTATAGATGAGTACTGAATTTCTACTTACAAGACTTACTGCATTCGACAGGAGAATAGATACTATGGTTCAGGAAATCTAATGAAAATTACTAGCTGAAAGCATTTCATATCTATTTCACCTGCAATTGGTTGAGCTAGCTTTGGAAATTTCCTGTTTTAAGGATTTACCACCTCACAAAAAAAAATTTTCATTATTATTAACTGACCTGATATATCCAGTTAAAAATGTGTGAAATGTTAGAATCAGTGTGCACATATCTCTTCATATTCTGACCAGCTTTACATGAGAAAAAATTATGTCTCATTTGTGTCTAGGAATGTGCAGTGTGTTAAAATTATTGCCATCAATTACATTAAAGAAAAAATCAGTTTGGTGCCATTCATGCCATAATTCATGAATAGCAACTTGCCTAAGATGTAGCTGAAGCAGAAAGTATATACAGCTGAAAATATATTGTTATTATAAAAAAAGATTTTTTCCTCTTACTGTCTCCTATGCTTCATCTTCTGAAGTGTGAAAGTTTAATCAAAATAAAATAAAATTTGTAGCTAAACTTGTACTCTTCTTATTGTACTGCATGCAAATATTTTTTAGCTGCCCCCCAGTGCATCTGAGCACTGCAGGGGTAGTGAACAACAGGATCAGTAGTTCAGTTTGGTCTTTATATGACTTTCAGTGTTTTAATAAATAAACAAGTCTTTTAGCTGGTTCCCAGAACACACTCTGTCTGCTAAGATCAGAAGTGTGACCTCAGAAATTCTCAGAACTTCAGAAGTCAAGCAACAGTGTCTCTTCTTTTTCTATTTCAGCACTTGCCTTACTGGACAGAAGCTGAAGTCAAGCCAAATGTAGAAATAAAAATATAGTTCCACATACATACAGTCCCATATACTCATTAATATACAAATTTACAAAGGCTGGGTGAAATTATCTAACTAATGAATGTCTATTTGGATTAAAAAATCAAATTATTTTATTAATTGCCTATCCAGGAACCATGAAGCTTTGTTAACTGTCTTCACCTAAAATATAAAAAGCCAAAAAAAAAAAAAAAAGAAAGAAAGAAGTATGTTTCTAGCACAAGCTGTGCAAGTAGAAAGACTCTTCCTCCTAAAAAAACCCAGCCTGTAAACAGATTAGATTTTCCCAAACCCATTTGAGGAAAGGTTTGTGGGAAGGGACAACAACTGTTATCAAGCAGGTACAGATGCTGGGAAAAAAAAAAAAAAAAAGAGAAGGCAAATTCTCAATTCTCTCTAAACAACTTCATCAGGACTCTCACATCTGACAGCACCACAGCTGCAACACTTCTACAACATGATCTGAGAGGGGTTTGGTGAGACTCTCCTTGTCAAGGTGCTTCCTGTGCATAGAGACATGCACAGGTCCTCAGCTCGGGCACAGCCTGCTCGCTCTCAGCTCCTGCTTCCTACTCTGATGAACACACAAACACCTCCAGTGCTCACAACCATAGGAAAAAATGATGAAATATGGATGCAACTGGTACACGTAAGACTTCATGAAGTGTTTTTTGTTGTTATTAATGATAAGTTAAGTTCAGCTGCTCCAGCATTAACAGGAAAAGTCAATTCATGTAGAAGTTTACACAGGAAAGTTGGGATGTTTTTCTGTCCAGGTCAAGTAAAAGATTTAGGTTTTGTATTATGTTGAAAAGCAGGAGAAAGTCAAAAACAAGCTTTTCCAGACACTAGATTTTCAGCTGTATTATTATTTTTTTAAAATATGGGCTCTTTACCCCAAAAAACCCAAACCCTTAAGATAATGGTTTTCAGCAGCACTGCACACAAAATAGCACAGCATACTGCATCTGCAGAAATATTAGGCTGCAGTCCTAGAAATATTTTGTCTGCCCTATAATCTTGCAAAGTTTGTAATACCCACATTGCTGTAATAAGCAAAATTATCAATTTACATTACCAGCCACTAGTCAGCTGTTCACTGTTGCATGGGATAGGGCACTTGTCTGCATTCCCTCCAAAAGCAATGAGTCAAGAACACTGTGTTCTATTTCAGAGGACATCAAAATAACCACCAAACCAGAAAGGAACAGAACAAATGGCAATGCATTGTATTGCAAAATGATGTCACCTTTGTGGTTATTCTTAAATGTAATGCTAGGCATCGTTCTTGAAACCACCAAGTAAGCCTGAAGTGCTAAGCCTGAATTGACAGATTATATTAGCTGGACTATACTAGTTTGCCAGAATAGCATGCACATGTGGTTGAGCACGACCTTCAGTTTTCTAGTTTGATATGTTTGTAAGGTTATTAACACTTGAACTAGCAAAACTTCCTTAGCTGGAGCAATTAGTGCATCACCTAAAACCTGATATAAAAAGCTAAGCAAGTGCTCTGCATCTCAAGAGTGTTGGGGGAACTTCCTCTGACACCAAAGACATCTTCCATAATTATTTAGGCCTTGGGTGAACAACTTGAAAACTTAACGGTTTGCATCCCCAGAGACACTGATTTGAACCATTAGCTCAAATACCAAGGTGATGAAAATGTAGGTGGGTTGGGGACTGCATAAGAAGCACAGAGCAGACCTCTTTTCCCCATGTCTTTGCTGCTCCAGGGAGTTTACTGATGTTCTCACATAAGATATGGAAAGTGATTTGTAATTACATGCAGCTCCAGACAGGTACATTGTCTACACTCACACTCTGATGCCCAAGAAATCAGACTTCCTTTTGGGAAGTGGTTGCACATACCAGGCATTTTCCTTATAAAATGCCTAAGGCTAGAAGGCTAACTCAAACAATACTGAAAATAGATCAATACAATCTAAGATAATCAGCAAACCATTTCTAAAATCTTTAGTGTCTATACATAAAAACCAACTATTCTGACTCTGTTACTTTTAGCCAAGATGTTTCTTTCCATTGTTCTTCACCTTCTTACACTGAGTCCCATAGTAAACTTAATTTTGATCTGTTTGTTTTTTCACATTCATTTAATATTTAAAACTTAAATATACTGTGCTCTGAAGAAATTCTTGAGCTCAAGACTTGGTATTGAATGTTAACTTTCTTGATATCTCTCATCTCAGGAAACTTCAAATAGATTTAATTATCAATATAATTCTAAATAACCAGGAAGTTGGTAAACACTCTTAATATACCTTTCTTTAGGAATAAAACTAAAGGTTCTGATTAGAAAATATGGCTTTAAAACTCCACAGAATAATGTACTTATAAGGACTTAAATGCCTAGTTTCAGCTAGTTTTGCAGTTCCAAAGGTTTAAATATCTTATTTGAACCACAGAAAGACTTTAAGGCTGAATTGACCCTTCTTTCTCTCCATCTTTCCTTCTTGTTCTCCTTTCCAACCAACTTGCCCTGCTGAAGAACTGTCTCTGGAATGAAGAAAATCCTTTGTCTTAAGATATGTGGCGAACGTTACTTCTCCACAAATTAGCTTGTGGTCATACAGGCAGGGGTTTTCCCCATGCTCTTGCTATAATGATTATTGTATTCTGCACTGGGGTTTATCTCCAAGACCTTTCAAGGCTTCTGAGTGTGAACTGAAGTCTGGTACTCAGAAATGTCCTTGAAGTTGCCCTCAGTGGGAACTGTGCAGCTAACATCTTTAAGTCTTTGAATGTTCCTATTTACACCCTCCAACTAAGCAGCAGGGGCATACTTACCTCCCTGGTGGATAGATAATCCATAAATATTGTTTATCATTGTTTGTAAACAGTGATGCTTTACTAACAATCACTTGCGCTCATTAGTCCAGGTCCAGAGCCATAGATGCTGTTTTCTAATTTGGTTCATATTCAGAAACCCAGCTAAAACACTGAAACATTACTAAAATGAAGATCGAAGGGCTTTCCTTATATGTCTTTACAATATAATTTCTATATGGACAGTGTCAGCAGTGTATATGAACTCAGAGAAAAGACAATATTTTCAGTGTTGCTCTGGGTGATTAGGTGACAATAAAAATTACCTTTCCGTATGAACCTTGTCCTAATACTTTCAACAGTTCAAATTGAGACGGATCTGCTTTTTCAAAACCTTCCTTGACATGATGACTGATGTCTATTTCCTTCACAATACCTTCTTCCTGCAAAGGAAAAAAAAAAAAAAACAAAAAAAACCAAAACCCCCAAATCAGAGCCATTATCTTAAGGAAACATATTGTTTATTAAGATCTTGTCTTCTGTAATGCTAGAATCATGTAGCAAATTTTGAAAATAGAAACAAATGCTTGCCTAAATATTCCACGTGCCTGTGACCAGCTGGGGAGGGTAACTGTCAGGACATCCAGACCTGGTACTTCTACTTATTAAGACTCAAGATACGACTAGATAAAGACAGATTACACAAGCTGAAGCCAAAAATACACTCCAGAGATTGGTGTGTCCATCAGAGACCTTGTCAGCAGACTGGCATGTACTTAAATTTGCACTAGAAAGGCTTCATCATGCTTCTCTCCACAAACTTTCTCAGCTTCCCCTCAAATCATCATTTAATCTTCAAAAGCTTCCTTAGTCTTAAGCAGTAATTCTTCTAATGAGTAGGCAACGAGGAAAGACATTACTAAAAGAGCCTCTTCCTATTTACCTCAAAAATTGGAAAGTTACTAATGGTAACCATTTAAACAGAAAGCAAATTAATGATTAGATATAAAATGAGGTGGTGGTGGGAGAAGACTCACACACACTTTATTACTTGCAAGAATTAGCTTTGTATGTTTTGGTTTTGCCCCGATTCTTTTGTAAAAATCTTTCCTCTGTCAATACATGCACATTCCTCAAAGACATCAGTAGAACTAGGACCTTCATCTTGCAATCTGTGACATATGGCATTAGTTTCAGCTTTTTGTTCCTTGTTATTTTGGCATGTTCCTCTAAAAAGAGAGCAACTGGGTCACTTGAGACCCAGAGGGACTGCATAGAGTTTGCAGCAACCCAGAAAGTCATTGAGCTGAAAAGAAACCTGGAAGAAAGAACCTGCTCTTCAAGGACACAAAGATAAGGAAGGATAATACTTACACACCTTTTTATTTCTGTAGTGTTTTGTACACCTACAGTTGAGCTTTTTGGTTTGTTTGTTTGTTTGTTTTTTTCCCAAACTACTTGTTCTAGCTTTTCCATGACAAAAATATAGATTTTCAGTACAAACATTTTTTTATCATCTCCCAGTTTTTTTTTTAATCCTTTCCCATTTAGGAATAAGTTTGAATATTTCTGCATCAAGCAAAAATAATTACAATCTCACAAACATTTTCATGTGGACTTTTCCTGCAATTTTCTTTTCTCCCCCCAAAAAATCCTTATAAAACCTAGAAATATAACAATTATTTCCCACTATTAATGTTAAGAAAACAGAAATAACATCCTAAAAATAAATATGCATAAAACTCCCAAAACATTTGGCCAAAACACATTCTGTGCTAAATAAGAATAATTTTGATTTTCTTCTCCTCCAGAAAAAATTGCTATCACTTTCTACTAGCTGTAATTTGACAGATACATGGTTTGCATTACCCAGATTGCTTTCTAAATTGTAGTTTCAACCCTCCTCTTCCCTACCCTGTCTCTTAACACTCACATACTTTGGAACAGTGGACTATATCCTCTTCTTGGTTTGGAAAGCTTCCTGTAGTTCATTCATGCTACCACAGTCATGGAAAATAACCATCATTTCAGGGCAACTCCTTTTTCTGAGCCTAATTTCTACAGTTTAAGGTTTGCCTGAAAGGAAATGCATGAAACCAATGAACAGTTTTCACAGAGAGATTTAAAGGATTTCTAAGTACAGAACTGTCAAGATCTCTCTTTGCATTTTTCTTTATTTAATTGCTGTGAGATAGCATAACTTTCTGATATTAAATATATAATATTTTTCAATTATTTTGTACTCCAGCATGAACCATAAAGTCACTTTCACCTATATTTGCAATTTAAATGATGAGTGAGTTTCAATTCTCCCATCCATACTACTCATCAAAGTCAAAGACCTACAACCCCAAGCTTATTTCTCATTGCATTACTAAATTTAATGTAACCTCTTTAGGTTCATGAAAGACGTTCAGTTACAGGAATATATTGAAAGTATTACAATGATGAAAATTCAGCTTGCTGGAAGACTGCTTAAAAATTTCTTGCACTCTCATAGAATAGCATAAATAATTTATAACAAGCAATAAAAGCAGTACTTAAATTATATACATCTTTAATTAAAAGCTCTGGAAAAAAAAAGAGTATTTACAAAAAATAGAACCAAGTACAAGGTCTAGCAACATTTTTTAGATAAGCACAGATTTTAAAGAAGAAAAATGCTAGATTTTGTGATTATCAAAATATAAAAACGTTGGTTAGAAGAGGCTTCTAGGGGTCATCTGCTTCAGCAGTCCTGCCCAAAATCAATATCACTGACACTTGATCAGACCAACCAGCTGGTTTTTGTCCACTGTGGTTTTCAGTGTCTCAAACACTGAAGCTTGAGCCACTTCCTACAAAAGATTATTCTCTTTCAATCTGCCCACAGTCCAGTTGAGCTGGCTGTTCCATGTGCCCTTAGGAGGAAGCAGGATATTTTTCTAGGAAGGTAGGATTTCCTGTGGATTTCCTGTGGTTGCCTTGCTAGAAAGGGGCAGCAAGACAGCACTGAAGAAAAAGCATGCCAGACAGCTGTTTTTTCACCCATCATCACCACAGTGGTGTCACTTGTGAGCTGTCCAAGAGGTAGATAGTATTTTAGCTGGTATGACAAATCCACTTCCCCCTGGAGCAAAAAGCCAAACTGGCAGTGCCAGAGACTGAAGACAGACACAGCTCCTTAAAGGAAATACATGCTGGTGTGTTTGCACACATGCACCCATTTGCCTTGAATATATTTATATAATCTTATTACTTATTGGCTGCATAAATTATGGAATAACTTCTATTTGTTTTACCTTTCCAGCAAAAAAACCCAACACAACCAGTCTTATAGTCTTTATTTACATTCTTACTTACATCAGAGTTTTTAATTTCTTCCTGTATTATGCTAATGTGGAATCTGACGTAATTTTTGTCAGTTACTGATGATCAGAGTGAAGCCCAAACTGTCAAAGCACAAGTATTTTGGGCAGGTCTCCCAGCTATTTTGGTCTGGGTTGCATACTAGAAACTTCTCCAATACAGATTTATTTTTCACCATTCCAGCAAGTGCACTGTATCTGCATCAAGAATTTGCATAACTGCAATAAAACTGAGACAAGACAATAATTATACAGACAAAGCCTGCACACTGAAAAAGCTGTTTTGATGGAAAGGATTTCACTCTGGGAAAAAAAAAAGAAACAGCCAACTCAAGACTGGTTTTGATCAGTGAAGTCGGTGGAATCAAAAGGGAATATTCCATAGTTTGATCTTGCAACAGCTGTGCACACCAGCCCAGGCTCTTGCTCCCTGCTGACTTGTCCCACACTGCATTAGCAGGAATGCTTGACTTAATGAAGCTTAATCTTTTGTAAACTTCTCTAAATATTTATGTTCACACAAAAAACGTCGTCATCCTGTGACAAAAGTGAGATGGGTGTTCTTAGTGGGTTGAAGAACACACATGGTCAAGCAGGATAGACTAGCGAAGGGAGGGCAATAAATCGGAAGGCTAAAAGAGAAATGGAGAGTGCTTCTCTATGTTAATACAAGAAAGATGTATTCTGGGTCTGATTCTACACTTCATTATTCTCTTAAAGGCTTCCCCCAAAGCTGGCAGAAGATTTGGACATAAAATAACTCACTATTAAAATGGAAAGACCATTTTGATTTCTTCTCCTTTGGCACATAGGAGAAGAGAGCCTCTGTTCTTGCCCTGTGACTGTGGATAGCATAGACACATCTGCTTTGGTGCTTCTGGAAGGCAACATGTCCCTGTAGCATTGGTCTTAGCTCACTTCCAAGACTTCTTCATGCAACCTTGGAGAAAGAGAGGCACTAATGCTCAGTGGCTGCTTGAGAGCAACCACAGAAAACTCTCCTAACTGCAACAATACTTCCCAACTCATTGTCTCATATCAGGGGATTAAGAAGTTTAGGGATATAGATTTGGCAGTGGAGTACAAAAATTCATTCAAAAAGGCAGGCCTTCGTGGAGAGCAACTCTTCAAATTACTATCTTGCCAGTTCTACAGCCTCTCAGCAAACATTATAGAAAGAATGCCTCCTAGAAAATGGACAGGTTTAACAGCTTTTGGAGTCTTGTCTGGCTACTCCCTAACTAGTTTCTGAACAAGCAGAGCTAAGGTCACCAAACAAAGAGACCACCTTAACTGCCAGATATATTTTACCCGCACATAAAAAACTTTCCTCACCAAAACTTCCTGAAATATCAGGAGGGGGAGATTATTCAATAATCAGCCAACAGAAAAATTTATGCTACCATATCATATGCAAAAAAAGCCATGGTGCTAATTTGATACGATTATTGTTTTGAAAAATCAGCAAGAAAGGATTCCCAGTTTTATTCCTTGCCTGGTCATCTCCTCAGTTGCAGAGGACCAAGACTGGTGTACGGGTATGGCTGCAAAGGGTGAGCTACATTTTCCAACAGAAGTATGTGCACTTTTGGTGTACAAGTTTTACAGTCTTTAGGATTGCATGCTTTAGGATCTGAGGTCAATGAAGAAAACAACAATAACGTGGCAGAAGGACATAAGAAATAATGATAACTCAGAAGACATTTTACTGTTGTTCGAGATAATGATTATTTGTCTACAGTATATGCTCAGGATACAGACTGTATTTTGTTACCAATCTTCCAATTTGGCAGGTTACCACCTAATATAAACCCAAATCACAATTATTTAGCTACCAAGAATCACAGGCAACACAGCATTTTAAAACAATATGATTCTTTAGGAAAGCATGCTTAAAACTGTGATATGGGAATAGTTAGGACAGGATGTGTCTGATAAAGATGAGGCCAGGTTTCTACCTCTGTTTCGCAGCTCAGCCCATAGGAGAGTAATTTGTGTCACAGACATTATAGGCTATTCAAATGCTGCCTAGGGCAGGAAATGAATTGCTGGCCTGCATTCACTTCTTTGAGGACAAGAATCTACATTAAAGAAAA